TGAATTAGGAAAAAAGTTGATGAATTTATTCATTCTTCCATGATTTGACTTTCATTTTTCTCACAAGAAGATCCTGTCCGAGATTGGCCCAATATACGGTGTCATGTCTAGACATCATCATTACTATTCGTCATCGCTTTTATGGCGCGTTGTAGCTCTCTCAAATTGCTAGTTTCATAGCCAAAGCGAAGCGGAAATAAAAATGTGAGAGTAGCAGGGATGACTGATGTGGCTTTTCAGGATCTTAGCTTCAAGGATCCCGCTGCATAAGTATGGTACAGTTTTATTCCCTCTCCCTCCCCTTCCCAAAATGTTGTCAATTGTTGTATATTTTTTAGAGACAGTCGATCTATATATATCCTGACTCTAATGTCACTCACACATTACGTTATCTAAGTCTTATCCAGATTAACACTTAAAAGGTAACTCTTAATAAAGTGATCATCTTAGGCTACGTTCACACGATACAGGACGAATTTTCGACTGGCCGAAAGTTTCGACCGGATATTCTGTACACACGGAACCGTGTGAAAGTTTGGTTCTGTTCGGATGGAACTGATAACAGGATAAATTTTGCGACATTTTTGAGTGTTTTACCCTATCCCGGTGCGCAGAACGCTTCTTAACCCAGAGGAAATGGTGTCCAGTGTTTTTGCTGCTTCGACGTCAAATGTGCGACGTTTTTTATGTTGATTTTCTGACATTTTCAAGACACCAACGTGCGTGGTAAGTCCGGCACGGCCTACACATTGGCGAGATAATGTTATGCAATAACGCTGTAATATTACCGAGCACCGCAAACAATAAACCAACACATTCCACCATCGTCTAAAATTGTAAACATGTTCTTTAGCCTAGTTACCACGCATGCATGCAGCCGCGCCTTCGCCGTACAAAAATTTTGACGTTTAAGGTGTTCACATCGTGGCGGTCAAATTATTGACTGCACCGGCTAAAAATTCGTCCTCGATTTTCATGTTCAAAGTTTTGAACGCCTGGGCGTCCAAATTTTCGTACGTTTGGCGTAGTACCATGTGAACGAAACGCCCCAACTCACGAATTTTCCACCGGTCGAAAATTTGTCCGGTACTGTGTGAACTTAGCCTTAGTATCTTGATCATGCAAATCACATCAACTAGAAAGTATAAAGTCTTGAAAAGTGGAATATCGCGGAGATGGCTTACCTTGTGAAGGCAGATGATTCAC